TCCCTGGGTTTGCCAACCTAATTAAAGAGTGCATGGGTGTATATACATCATCTTGTTGCCTGCTGTCAAAGATATGCCATTTCCTTCCCACAGAAGACCAGAAGCAAAAAACACAATGAGAACAGGATTCACCAATCTAATTGGACATTTGTGTCTAAGGTTTCTCTCTCTGAAACAGCCACACTGGCATGGAAATTGGGGTGGGACTCTGAATATACTGCATCTTCTAAATGCCAGACCCCTTTGTGCAAATAATGGATAAAAAAGGTCTGCTTGGATGTTTGGGCCAGTTTAGCTACTCTCCAGCACTCCTGATTTTTCCATTTTGAAGTGAAGCCTATAATGATTCCCTAGTTCAGAAATACAGGAGATATTATATTTGCATGTCTTCTTCTTTGTTGCCTACTGTTCAAAAATGAAGCATCCAAAAATGTACTTTTAAGACATCAGAGAGCTGCTTGGGAAATGGTTTTGTTTGTAAAAGAGGCATGCTATTTTTTGTGTCTATTCTCAGTAGCTGATTCACTAAACTGAATGGAATTTATTCCCAGAGAAACATGAGAAAATTTGCAGAGTTCATGAACATCTAATGCTACTCATGCATCTAGTCAATATTATGGTTGTTGCCAAATTTCATGAAAACTTGAAATTTCAAAGTTGGAAACCTGCTTAGAAACAGCATCTGATAAATTGTGAGACACACAGAAACAAAAACTTTTGTCAAAAAAGACTTACAGATCCCAATTTAGGGTCAAAGCCTTAACCCATCTGCAGTATTAAAATCCTACTTCAAGAGTTAGCTTATTAAATATTATTATTCTTGGGTGAAGGGATAGCTCAACAGTTAAAGATTCAGAGATTGTCAATTGGAGAGCTGACAACCCAGGTTTGAGACCCCAGCTTCCTGCAATGGGGCGAGCTCCCATTACTTGCTCCAGCTCCTGCCCACCTAGCAGTTTGAAAGCATGCAAATGCAAGTAGATTAATAAGTACCACTTTGGGGGGAAGGTAACAGTATTCTATGTGCCTTTACTGTATAGCCATGTGGCCACATGACCATAAAAATTGTCTTTGGGCAACTCTGGCTCCCTCTGCCAAGAAATAGATGAATATCACCTCCAGGAGTCGGGCATGACTTGGCAGGGAAAGCTATACCTTTTCCTTGGGCAAGGGGAATAGTAATGATTAACAGATTTATCATTGCAGAGTTTTATTTTTGCTCAAACTTTCACAGAGTAAGCATTGCATTTACAGATGAATGAGAAACTTGCTTCTACTGAAGAAGAGGAGGTGTACCTTATATAAATTACTAAAAAAGTGGAATTGGATATAAAATAGTATTCATTTTATTGTGCTTTTCTACCTGTTACCTTCAAATTAAATGAAAGATTCTTATTTTTCTCATTTACTCCATTATGCTAGAAGAATCTTTAAAAGAAAGTATGCTCTACCATAGAATAACAGAGTTGGAAGGGACATTGGAGGTCTTCTTGTCCAACCCCCTACTTAGGCAGAAAATGTAAACCACTTTAGAAAACTGGTTATCCAACCTCTTCTTAAAAACTTACAGTGTTGGAGCATTTACAACTTCTGGAAGCAAGTTGTTCTACTAATTAATTGTTCTGTCAGGAAATTTCTCCTTAGTTCTAAGTTGCTTCTCTCCTTGATTAGTTTCCACCCATTGCTTCTTGTCCTACCCTCAGGTGCTTTGGAGAATAGCTTGACTCCCTCTTCTTTGTGGCAGCCCCTGAGATATTGGAACACTGCTATCATGTCACCCCTAGTCTTTCTTTTTATCAGACTAGACATGCTAGTTGTAATACAATACCTAGGTGAAACTCAGTATAACTGCATACCTCAATAACATAATTGTAACAGGCATAGATGAGCAGTGTTAAAGTCAACGTACATTATTCCTAGATGTGAATAGTTTCATGCTTTGGAAGGGACAGGTTTACAGATCCATTAATTTAAAGTGTAGACACCTATTGTATATGGATACTGATCTTCCTGCATGGCTTCTATGAGAAGAACATAAGAAGAAGAAGAAAAGGCAAGGAGTGCTATGATTTTTACAATAGACATGGAAAGGCATCTATAAGGGCTTGGGAAATTAAGGCAAGACACTAAGACACCACATAGTTTGGTTTGCCCCTTACATACTTTAAAAGTGAAGATCAGATGAAAGTAATATATGTAGAAATAAGAAGTGACTGGCAAGGTGCAAACCAGTTATTATCTAGGCAAAGATCCATGCATATGGGGAATCTATGGCTAACCAGTCATGAAGAATCTACAACCTATGGGACCCTGTAGAAAGGCTGAGAAGAAGACTAATCTTTTTTTAGTCCTGCTACAGGGACTAACACACAATCAGAAACCAAAGGATTTCAGTTCTAGTGTCTGTTATATCAATCATTACGAACCATATCAAAAATAGTTAAAGGTTGCTTGTTCTCTTGCAGATATTACTAGTTTAGGTAATGAAACATCTGCAAGAAAACAAGCAAGTTCAGAGAACACCAAGGACCCCTCATTTCAACCATGAGCTAAAATATTCTCCTTTATTAAAAGTTTCTCTGAGCAAAGCTTGACTCCTGGTAACAACATAAATATAACCATGCTCCTTTCTTGGCTGAAGTATGGAAGTGGTTTGCTATTGGCTTCTTTCAAGATGTTTTCTAATTTATTAATGTAGTCTACAATCCTGATGGTCTCCTACTCGTATCCTAACCAGCCCTATCCCATTTAGCTTCCAAGACCAGATAATATTAGTAGAAGGTCCCACTTGCTGCTAAGATAAAAGATGGAGTCTGATCGGTTTAGCTACCAAGAACATTGATAGGGAACATTGATGTCCAGATTATGAATGGAAAGTAACTGCATCTTTACTCTCCTCCTCCTACAAAGAGACAATATTAAGTGGGTTAACTATTCCTACAGCGATTTCTATGTCATGGGTTGATTGCTGTTAGTTTGACCTTTCTGTGACAAGCTATGAACAGGATCACAACTACTTCTTCAGCATTTCAGGGGTTAGTGCTGAGAGCAGTCCAAAGGTATGTTCTTAAGAAAAAAAAAAAATCACTGCAAGCTTCCCACTTAGCACAATGAAATTAATAGCTAGGGTACTTGGGAATTTCTGGAACGCCCAATGTGGAATCAACTTTGCATTCCCACTGGAAGTCAAAATGTTATAGAAAGGTCAAGCACAATAATTCAATGCACTGTTTTCATTTTCATTCTGCCTTTTGGACCCATTAAATGTGGGTTTAATGACTTTGGAACCTCAGTACTACGCAAGCAGATCTGGATTCTGAGACAGCAATTTAGCATCAGTGTTGAACTTTTAACCTAAAACGTCTTGATGAATAATTGCTAGCTGGCAGAAGTTCTATCTGATAAGGACTGTATATGTATATTTAAATAACATCCAGATAAAAAAGTGCTGTTTTCTGGGCAAATTAATTTGCAGGCAGTAAGTCATGTGAGCCTTAATATGTACCTAGAAGTAAAAGCTGCTCCTTTCGGTGAGATTTATTCCCCACCTCACCAAAAAAACCATGCAAGAATAACCCCAGTCCCCCATTACAATTGTCTATATGCAATACACTATTATATTTTCTTCTATATAACTTGCAAACTTAAATGATAGCGCAGATAAGAAGATGATTCACATCTTTACACCACTGGAGAACTTATCAAAACAAGTGATATTGGAACTTGTAAAACCTCTTCTTCCTTGGCTTTTCCCCTTTTTAAACGTTGATAGCCTTCACTGATTTGTTATAATGCCAAATATATTTATCATTTTGAAGGAGCCAGACCTTGGTTCCTGAACCATTTTCTAGGTGCTCAGAGCATCTTCACAGAAATATATTTTTTCTCTGCCTTATAGTATTTAATTATAAGAAAAAAAGAGATAAATTTATAAGAATGAAAAGCAACAATATTTCTTAAAATCACAGGTAAATATGATTTCAGTCTGATGACCACAAAAGTACAAACTGCATAAGAGAGTAGAATTTTGAAGTTGTACAACGATTACAGATATTTAATTAGAAGCTGATATTCCATTGTTGTCTAATCATTTAGCCTACTGAGTGTCTGTATTTGAAAAGCAATGGTTTCCTCCACTTCTTCATTGCAAGGAATACAAAACTTGGAAATAGAAGCCTATCAACCAGTTCTCAATTTGAAATCCATTTTAGAAATCAAAGATCTTTTCCTAACATTTCTTTCCATCATAATTTTAATTTTAATACCACGTAGGCATGTGGGCTTTAATTCCCAGGATTCTTAGAAATAGTCATGCTGGAGGGAGAATTCTGAGACTTCAAGGCCATCGATCTGAAAAATGTCTCAGTTCTGGATGGCTACTCTACAAATTTCATCTGAAAAAGGCACCAATATATCTCATCAGAACCTACAAAACAATAAAAGAGCAATCTAAGATGTAACTCCTCAAATTGGGAACACTACTCATCCTGAACAAAAGGCTTGAGGAAAGAGCCACGTTTACTCAACTTTGTATAGGCTCAACCCATCAAGGGTTGGGCTCAGCCATATGTTGGGGAAAAGGTCATCCCAAAGGGCAGAATCTGAGGCATGACTTTTGCGTCTCACAAGTGACATTGTTTTAATGAAGAGACCCAGATTGTATCCTCCTTTTTGGAGTATGTGGGATAGGCAGATCTCTTGGGAGTAGGTGGGCTGACATGTAAAGATTTATAGGTGACAATCAGCACTATAAATTACACCGCAAAGCAGGTGCTGTTCATAGAATAGAGGTTTCACAGGGGCTTAACAAAAAATGTCCAGAATTACTCACATTGCTGTGTCTGAACTAACTACATTTTCTAGAAGGTCTTCAAGGGCAGTCCCATGTGGAGCATGCTGCACAGTCATAATTAATGATAGCTACATAAACATGAGCCAAGTTAGATGAAAGTTCCTAGTTAGTCTTTTCTTAAGATTTTTTTTTTTTTTTTAATATTTAGATGACACATACTGTAAGTCACAATAGGTGGCAGCACCTAGCCGATCCTGGCTGATCTGACATAGCACAGCAAGGCTAAACCTGGTTAATATTTGGATGGGAAACCACCAGGAAATTACAAAGCTATGTGGCAGACAGGAAAAAAAAAACATACTGGAAGAATAGAAATGTAAGTCATTTCCACATTATTGTCAAGAAAATTATATGGCATGTTGAAGAAGATTCTTGGAGCTAAGTTTGACTTGCAGGAATGGTAACTTTTGATATTTCAGGAATCAGTACTTAAGCATCAACTGAGAAGTTTCTAATAAAAACAGATAATAACTATGGCAGTGTTTTTCCACCTTTACAACTTGAAATTTGGGAGTCCAGAAATCTTCAAGTTGATAAAGATTGAAAAACCCCACCTGTGAGTTCTCTTGATGGCATACCCATCTTAGTTCAGCATGTCATAGAACCAAACGCAGTGTTAAATTTGCCCTTCTTTTTGCAATCATTAGTGAAAAGACAACAACCAAAGACTTCTCTCAAGGCATAGCAACAAAGGAAAATGCAAAACATATGATGGCTCATGGATAAACAAGGAAACAAAGGTGAGCCAATTCTCAAATTTCAACTAATCCAGGATACACTTTACTTCCCCAAGTCAGAAAGACAAATGAGCAGCATAGGAAAGTATGTGGATAGTTAAGACAAGCACTTTTCCTGCTCTGTGGAAAATAAGTGTTATTAAACGTCCAATAACTGAGGGGGCTTCAAATGCCTGGGGTACAAGGCTGTTTTTTTAATCATGGTTTTTAAAACAATGATTTTATCTGTGGTTTATTTATGGCTTTTTAAATATTGCTGCATCATGTCAGTTCTATTATGTGAGTTTATTAAGTGGCCAGGGTAGAAGTAATGCCAATAAATTCTGCAGAGAAAACAAAATGTCACATTTGATTTCTAACGCTCAGAAGTTTCCTGTGAAAATTCTAAAAATATTCACAGCCTAATTGTAATAATAGGGGCAAATGTAACTCTGGGGTTTTGTTGCATTGGCAGGGAGGCTCCATCAGAAAGAGCCGGCCAGAGACTGCAGAATGGTAATGACCTGTTATTGGGCTTTGCTCCAATAGCTTTGCAGCTGATGAATATTAGAGGAGGCATCAGATAAGCTTACGACATGATTTAATAACTGCATCAGTTCAGCAGCTATGTCAGCAGATGTCCAGCCTAGTAAATCTACTTATTGCTTCTAAAAGGTCAGCAGCAGCTGAATGAGACAGCAAATGGGGGAATGTGACAAAGATGTAGAACACTGGATGATTTAAAAACAGAATATGATTCAAACAATGGCTCAGACTCATTCAAGGATCTCAAAAACCATTGCATCCAACCCTGACAATTCCAAACAGCCACTGCTGCAGCATTAGGTGGCCAATTGCCTCTTAGAAACTTCTGACAAAAGAACATTTGCAATGCATGAGACAAACTGTTCTAACATTTAACAACTCATCACCCCAGGAAGCTCTGTTGAAAGTAAATGGAGTTCCAACCATCAAATTATGCTCTTCAAGAAGCAAAAGCATGGTATTTTCCAGGTGGATAAACTGCTCCCTGTTTCTTCCTACAATAATGAAGTAACAGCCACTTTAACAAAACTTTGCAAAAAGAATTTTACTTCTCTTTTTTAATTTCACTTCTTGAGATGGAGAAATTAAATTGAGCCAGATTAGGTTAACTTCCTGTCCCAACATTTAGATGTAAAGTGAGTATGAATCTCTATGTGTTTAAACTTATGAATTAGAGCAGTGATTCTTCACCACGGACCTCCTTTAAATACTTTTTGTGGCCACAGACCATGTTCATGGACCCCCAAAACTTAACTCAAGATTTAAATCATAACATTTCTTCACACCTTCGCGGACGTCCTGTGACGACATCACAGCCCCCTCCCCCAAGGTCCACAGAGCACAAGCTGAGAACCACTGATTTAGAGCATTTCTTCTGGGACAACAAAAAAATATTCTATAATAAGTAGGTATCTACTTTCTAAGCCAAACATAGCCAACTCCTTCAATAGTTCCTAATGTGCAATGACAGAAACCTTTGATTCCTGACGGTACAATATATCATAATTCGACAGACTGAATGATATCTGATCACAGCAAAACTTACTGCATTGTTGTTGCTGCTAGAACTATTGAAATGGCAAACTGTAAGCGGACAAATCCACTTCTAGTTGCAACTTTTTTTAAAGCCCATAGGTTTATGGGCCAGTGGTTTGGCTTAGAGAACATGTGGCTTTTCACCACATAATTAATTAACAAGGTCATCAGTGGCACCTTTTTAGAACTTTTGTTTATTATATATATATATTTTAATTTGATTTATATGCCGCCCTTCTCCGGAGACTCAGGGCGGCTTACAATGTGCTCAGCAATAGCCTTCATCCTTTTGTATATTTATACAAAGTCAGCTTATTGCCCCCACAACTGGGTCCTCAATTTACCTACTTAGAAAGGATGGAAGGCTGAGTCAACCTTGAGCCTTGGTGAGATTCGAACCTGCAGTAATTGCAGGCAGCTGGTCTTAATAACCAGCTTTATAACAGGGTGCCTTAGACCACTGTACTACCAAGGCTCTTTGGTAGAAATTTGTTCTTTAAAATTAGGCATCTATGGAAAATGGAATCCCAGATAGAATAAAGATAATGATACTATGGCAGGCAGGCAGGCAGGCAGACAGAATTATCTATATCATCTATATCAGGAGTGTCAAACTGGCAGCCCGTGAGCAGATGTGTCACATGCAGTCCAAACCCACCCCAGCTCCGCAAAGGGGGAAAAAAAATCGCAAAATGTCACATGACAGCAATGTGACCCACACGTTTGACCTGTGATCTATATATAGCAATATACTGAGTCATTTCAAAGCTAAGATACAGTCCCTCTGCATTATTAAGAAGCCCTCCCTTAATATTTTTTGCTTTCTGTCAGCCAGATAGAATTTCTAAGTGCTGGCCACTAACAAAAAATTATTAAGAGATCACAAATGACTACCAATTTCATTTTCAGTATCCAGTCCTAGTCTACTCCGATACATTAATCTTAAATTTAAATAGAAGTAGGGGAACAGTTGAACAGGAAAAAAAGGCATTGGAATGCCTCTAGAAGCCTGATAAAACATCTCTGCATCTGGGCCCGTAAAATTCTGTTGGGACCAAAATTTGAAACCAGATGTATCCAGTATTAATATCCAACACCCAACAAGATTAGCAAAAAGGGTGTCCACCCTCCCAGGCAAGTTGCGTACACTGCATTCAGCAATATGTTTAATTAATTTACTGTGTGAGAAACAAGAAATGGAAGCAATTTCCTGTTTAGAGGCCTTTATCTTCCCAAATATTTAATAGTTTATATAAGACACACTGAGTCAACAAATCCTATGCAAAAGGAAGCAACAAAAAGCTAGTATACTGACATTCTATATCCAGGTGGGGCGCATGCACGGATACTGCGTGCGCATTGCATTTTGGGGGTTCGGGCGCACTTTGGGCACTGGGTCCGGAAAAGGTTAGCCATCACTGTCCTATACTGTCATGATTTCCTCTGTTTTGTAACTTAGTAATAAAAGGCTAATACTCTTCACCATTGCCAAGCACATTTTGCTCTAATTTAACTCAGATTGAAAGAGTTTATTAACATCTTAATGCTGTGACAACTATAGGACTTGTTTTTAAAAGCAGCTTAAGTATAGATTAATATATCCTGCTCTTCTCCATAACCTAATGGTTCTGGTTTGGGAATTAATCATAAGCAAAACCATAAGGTGAATTAAGGTTCTCAGCAGCTTAGCCCTTGAAATTGCTTTGAGCATCAGGAATCTCTTCTGGAATATTAACCCAGTGGAAAAATGCATTTCTTCTGAGCATGAAAATGTCAGATTATTGATGTCTTGCAAAATAAATAAATAAATAAGAGAAAGGTTGGAAGAAAAAAGGAAATGAAGATTGCCAAGGCTTCTGTAGTCTGAATCCTGCAGATGAAACATGTCAACTTCCCAATTCCACTACATTCACTACAAAAGTCTAAATGGGATGCCTTTAGTATACTGATTTTGAAAGATGAGAAATATTTAAGAGTTCTGAATGGCTGTGTTTTTCTTAAGACAAAAAGTATTTGGATTTTAAAAGGTTGGTAGCCAAAATTTGCTAAAGATATTTGTGAAATGGGGTATAGAAAGAATAATGCCTTGGAAATATCCCTTATAATTTGCAGAAAGAGAAAACTATCTTTCTCTTAAATTCTGCTAGAAGAAACTGATTGCATATCCAACTGTTTCTATGTTCATGTAAAATGAGGGGGGGAATGAACAAATCAACATTAGCTTCTTTCTACACTCATACACTCAAATTTGTTTTTTTCTAATTTTACTAGTCTCTACAAGCATGGCTACTTATGGTGAAGAAGTGAGGGTTTGTTTGGTTTTTTCATTCGTATTTCAAACCTTCCATTTTTGGCTATGTAACTGAAATGAAGGAAATTGTCCCAATGGGATACTGCGTCACCGTAGGAAAAATTAAAACATTCCATACGCACTAAGGATAATATAAATAACAAGAGATTTTGCAGTCTGCTCTCTGTAAGGTGGATTTCATACAAACATACAGAGGAAGAGATCATTGCTATACACTTATAACAATAGCAATAACCCTTAGACTTATATACCACTTTATAGTGCTTTACAGCCCTCTCTAAGCGGTTTACAGTATCAGCATATTGCCCCCAACAATCTGGGTCCTCATCTTTGGAAGGATGGAAGGTTCAGTCAACCTTGAGCCGGTGAAACTTGAACTGCCAAACTTCTGGCAGTCTGGTAGTATTAGTCTGCAGTACTGCATTTAACCACTGCACCACCATGGCTCAGGAAGCAGTAGTCTGTTCCTTCTGCAAGAAACCCTTGCTGGATCCTATTGATCAGGTCAGCTTTCAACTAGTTCCCAAGCTTTCCTTTGTAGAAAAGGTTGTCGAGAAGAGGGTAACTCCACAATTCCAGGGGGATCCTAGAAGAATTGGATTATCTATTTTATTTGAGGGTCTCTCAAATTACCTTTGCCCACCCCATCAAATCAGATGGAAGTGACTGCTGCAGGTTCCCACAGTTAGGGAACCACACTTGGTGGACCCAAGGAGGTGCCAAGGCACCCAACTCATGAAACATTCTCCTCCCCCAAAGTGAGGTCAACTCCATTCCTATTTATTTTCCAGAAGTTTCCTGAAGATCTGACTATGTCATTGGGCCTGAGAGTTCCAAGGGACTGGGGATTTTTTTTTTTAATTTGATTTATATGCCGCCCTTCTCCGGAGACTCAGGGCGGCTTACAGTGCGTTAAGCAATAGCCTTCATACTTTTGTATATTTTATACAAAGTCAGCTTATTGCCCCCACAAACTGGGTCCTCAATTTACCTACCTTAGAAAGGATGGAAGGCTGAGTCAACCTTGAGCCTGGCAAGATTCGAACTTACTTTAATTGCAGACAGCTGGTGTTAAATTACAGTGCCTTTGTCTGCAGAGCTATCCAGGCTCATCCAAATTTTGTGGTGGCTCCTCTGCTAATCTAATTTCTTGAGTGGCCTTATGCTTTTTAAATTCTTTAATAATGACTGGTTGTTTACATGTTTGTTGTTTTGTATCTATGTTGTATACCACCCAGAGTCATTTCATGTGATTTGTATGGCCATATAAATTTGATTTTTTTTCTTCTTCCTTTGCTTTGGGTGGGGTTGGGGCAACTGAACGCAGCTAAGCGTTTACTGGCCGGATGTCCTTCCTGATGCCTATGCGGAGTTCACAGCAGATATTTTCTCTTTATGTCCTGATATAGCAACATCGTTGCTGCTTAGGACTGAACTTTCAATCTTTTGAGGGGGAGGCAAGCATCTTCACCTCTAGGCCATCACATCACTCCAACCATATAAATTTGATAAATAAATAAAATAAAGTCTACCCAACTATAAAACTATCACTTAAGATACTCCAATTATGCTAAGAAGTGATAGTGTACAGAAATTCATGGACATCTAGCACCAGCTAATTTTTACCACTCTTGAAGGTAAATTCCAGACTTCTCAATTAAATCATGCCAGGCATGTCACAGGGTTTTTTTTTTTTTTGGTTTTTTTTTGTTTTTGTACAAAAACATATTTCCATTCATCATCCTGCCTCTCTGCCAGAATTATGTCACCACAAACCATTTGGCATAGCAGTACAACAATAAAGCTTTTTACACTCTTAATGTGTCGA